ATATATATATATATATATATATATAATATATATATATATATATATATATATATATATATATATATTATATTATATATATTATAAATTATACACGCACACACATAAGCAAATACACAAAACAGCCTAATAAGACGAACTTGCCGAATAGACAGAATTCCCTTAAAAACTGGACTTTTCAAAAAAAAAAAAATGTTTGATAGACATGCATTTTCCTAAACAATGATGCAAAAATGTATATTTTTGACCAAACAAAACTTAACGTTACCTAACGTACCCTAATATAACGTAATTTCTTTAGCCAAATAAATCATAGCTCAGTTTAAATTTATTAATTATAATGAGATATATAATTTTTCATTATGTTCACAATGATTTTCGAAGGTTTAATGTATAAACAAATTGTCACTCTGCTTATTCGGCAGAAATTACTCTTACATTTTAAGCAGGCTTAACTTGTCGGTTTGGCTTACTCGGTACGAAAAAAATAAATATATATATATATATATATATATATATATATATATAATATATATATATATGTCGTGAGGAACAAATAAAACTTGCGATTTTGGCTTAAATAGTAACGCTCTTCTTGCCGAATAAGGCAAGCGAAAATTTGTGTATGCAATAATTTCGCAAAAGTCATTCTGAACCTAACGAAAAAAATGTATTTCATTGTGTTTATTAAATTATTGTAAACTTATCTAAAATATATTTAGTTGAATTAGGCTAAATTAAATTGCGCTTGTTATAATAAGGTTAGGTAAGTTTTCTAACGTTCTTTAGGTATAAAATTATCAATTTTTACATATATTTTTTTTTATCTTTAAACGTGAAAGTTAAGACACTTGTGCAACATCTGGTTATCCTTATTGTAGACGTTTCGCCATCCAGTGGCTTTATCAATACAGATTCTTGGACATAATTAGAAAACAGAAGAACTATATACAAAAGATGAGGTAATCAGTCCCTCAGCCTTGGAGGTGGTGTTTACAACACCTTGGTTGTAGAGACCTACGTCTCTACAACCAAGGTGTTGTAAACACCACCTCCAAGGCTGAGGGACTGATTACCTCATCTTTTGTATATAGTTCTTCTGTTTTCTAATTATGTCCAAGAATCTGTATTGATAAAGGCACTGGATGGCGAAACGTCTACAATAAGGATAACCAGATGTTGCACAAGTGTCTTAACTTTCATCTTGTCGGTATTGTATACCTGTCTTGCCAATCTTTAAACGTACAAGAGAAAATTTTTAGAGAGGACTTATTTAAAAACGAGTTCTTGCTAATTGACCAGTTTTACCTATTCGGCACAACACACAATCTCTGATTCGAACCTGCGCATTATGCATCAAAGGGTGAGAGTAATGCTCGGGTCTAAGATGACATCTATAAATAAATTCGCTCGTTCACGATTTGTTATATGCAGTGATCTTCCAATCACTCGTGTTTTCTTAAATTATCAGTGAACTGAAAATAGTCAACAGAAGGCATATAAAGGCGAGATTACACCTCGCGGTCGACTTACAACACCCGACTCTTTATGGTGATGTAGGTAGGTGGTCAAGGACCTGTCACACAGCTTATATTCTACCCAAGCTTTAAGATTTTAACTTGTCGAATATATCTTAGTCTTCCAAATTTTATTAATTATTAATGAATCCAATTTGTATAATCCTAAAGCAATATTCATATTACTTTCAAAACTATTTTTTTATGAAACAGGATTCTATCATTTCTCTCAGACACGGACCTGATCGATGCAATTTTCTCGGTCTTTTGAGAATCAATTGGATGGTTAAAATCTCTCAGGTGAATAAACAGAGCATTAGACTGTTGTTGTAATCTTAGACTTTTTCCAGTTTGACTGAAATAAACTTTAATATCACCTGTTAAAAATGTGATATAGAGACAGCCTTAAACAATTTGGGGGAATTTAACAAAATTAAATTATACTGTATCTAGATTCTTAAATACAACTTTGATATTAAAATTCTTAAATAGAGAAGGTACAGCAAGAAAGTTTTCATGGTATGGGAGGACGAACATATTTTTAGTTGAATAATGTTGTTTTTTGAATTGTTAAAGAATATTTATAACTATTTTAAAAGATTTTCACGTTGTTGTGGATATTGTAATATCACATGTTTACTGTGATCTTATTGCATATGGAGCCAGGTGACAGTTCCACTGATGTTGGTTGTACAGTATACCACTGTATTAGGTTAGGTGAGGCTCGTGAGGAAACAGGACAAGTGTTTCCTGACGCGGGTCTTAGGTGATGACCCGCCGTTGGAGCTTTTGGTCACCTGATAGAGGACTTCCGCTGGCTTACCGGTCCACCCCTTTAAAAATTATGGTCATAGTTATAACCATTTCTGTTACCACTGCATGTGTTAACTTTCTTTTATAGTTCGTCTCCTGTGTTGTATTTATGCTGGAAATGATATAAAATACCGACAAGATAAGACACATGTTTAACACTTGCACATGTTTTAATATTTTTTTATTTAACTTTTATACTTGTATTGCTCCATTCTTTGAACTTGACAAGTTTGTATTAGGTCTAACTATAAGTTAGTATAAAATAAAAATAAAAAAAGTTAAGGCGCCACGGAGAGTTGTTTTCGTAAATGTTAAAAAAAAAAAAATAAAAATGCCTCTCTTTATCAAATGACAAAATAAAAATAAATTATAATATCACGTCACAGTAGAATATTAACCGAGTCAGAAGAAATGTTGGGTGTGGTTTGACTGAGACCTCAACAGGGTTACAAGCATGTGCAACATCTGGGTATCTTATTATAATCAAAAAGAAGTGCTAAACCACAAGGGCTGTACAGCCTCTGGGTATCTTTATTGTAGAAGTTTCTCCATCCAGTGGCTTTATCAATACAGATTCTAGGACATAACTTGAAGACAGAACTATGTAGGTAATCAGTCCCTCAGCCTTGGAGTTGGTGTGAAGAGCACCGTAGTTGTTAGCCTGCAAGAGGCTAACACTACGTTAGCAGTGTAACCACCGAGGAATACTTGTCTGTATATATACACAAAAGATTTACTTCCCTAGTTTAGGTATTAAATTGTCCAGATTGTTGGTTCCTAGCATGTTAGATTACCTCCCATAACGAGGTGAGTGGCTGGAAGGAATCTTGCTGCTGTGTGAATCTCTGCTGACTATTGCAATGATTTCTTGATCCATTGACTCTTTCCCTCTGATCCGTAGGAACTCTTGTTGATTCTTTGGAGTACCTCCGCCAGGTTGACTTATGACTGAAGGTTATTCTTTAACGAAGCTCCTAATTGCCAAAAAACCTGCCTGCCTTTCTATATTTGGTGTCTTGAGAAGTTGATCAGAACAAATATCTTAACGCTGCTTTATGATAAATTGTCAGTCACCGCTACCGCCTTCATCATTATAATTATCAACATTACCATCATTCGCAAAAGGCTCTAGACCCGTGTGGGTGAGCAATGCTTAGTGCTTCACTACTTTTTTTTTTATATTTTTAGTCGCTTCCTGACCGGATCTCTAGCCAGAACGTCCATTTTGTTAATTGTTTTTTTTCTGTAGCTTATAACGAAAATTTAATATTTTTATTTTTTTCCCGGTTAGGTTAGGCATGATTAGCTTAACGTATGCATGCTTTATTGAAGTGTATAACTAACCCACAATAACTAAGGTGCAGATAAATGGTTCAGAGAACCGACACGTTGAGAAATTAGACACGTGCAACACTTGGGTATCTTTCTTGAGGAAACTTTTCGCCAAAGGGGAAAAGTGAAGATGAGGAGTTTCAGGTTATCAGTCCCTCAGCCTGGAGTCGATGTAATCAGTCCATCACTTTTGAAAAGAATACAGCATTTGCGCGAAAAAGTTGCTTATATACTGTAGGCAGGTGAAGTGCAGTAGTCGTAGGTGGTATCACATTTAACAAATCCAAATGTGGAAGTAGGTCATGACTAAAGGTTAGGCAAGTGAAGAATTCACTATATTATGATCCCAAGATGTTTGCTGTGTCTGACAGGAATATAGACAAATGGGTCAGAGAACCGACGAGTTGAGAAATTACACATGTGCAACACTTGAGTATATTGTGGAAACGTTTCGCCACACAGTGACTTCATCAGTCCTCCTTTGTATGGACTGATGAAGCCACTATGGCGCGAAAGTTTTCCTTAATCAAGATACCCAAGTGTTGCACATGTGTCTAATTTATCAATAACTAAAGTCTCAAGTGACTGACGCTTACAAATGTTCACAGTCGAGGCTGTTTTATCTCGTGTAATATAATGACAACTGTTAATAGAATGCGCTTATAAAAACCAATAGCGCAGCAAGTGAATCTTGTGTATTGAGAATGGAACACCGTTCATTGGGAAACAAAACACCCGATGTTGCTTGTGTTAGGCCTATGAACGAGATTTTATATATAGCTCCAGTAAAATGCGATTGTTCGTAAATGTGATTGAAAAAGTGCATCCAGAGTGGAATATCATGTACTATGAAGGCCTTTTCATTTGCTGTGTAATTTTGTACGTACTTTTTAAATTGCACCTACCAAAAAAAGCATATTAGAGGTGTTGCACAAGAGCTGACTGTGCATTAATTCCCGCGGGTCCCTCCCAACTTGTTTCAAGGCTTACCTCTAAGTACAAGAAATTAGAAGTATAATACAAAAAAAAAATGCTTTAATAAGCGTTATGATACAAAGTGATATATAGTAATATTGCAGCATGTCTTGAGTATTTTAGGATTCACTCAAGATTATTTTGATGTCTTAGTATTCTTGTGGTAAACTTGCATCCAAAGTACATAATTTATACAATTAAACGGCAGGCTACATCAGCAAGATCTCGAGTTTATATCAAACTGTATTGACTTATTCTTATCCTGTGCTTGCTGTTGTGCCGCATCATTCTCTGAAAATCACCTTTTTTTTATCGAGTTGAAGATTCCCATCTGCATCGCTTCTAAAGAGTATTGTTGCTTTACAGGCGAGGCCATCCACCTGGCACGAGATTTTGGGTACGTGTGTGAGACAGAGTTCCCAGCCCGGCAGATAGCAGAGTACTTGTGTCGTCAACACTCCGACCCAGCAGAACAGTACCGACGCAAGGACCTCATTCTCGCTACCAAGTGAGTAATTGCCTCTCCATACACGCGAATATCTATTTCTGATAGGTGTTATTTGAATTTTGCAAATGTATACACAAGTGTATATATCAGTATATCCACTAAGGCATATATGTAAATGTATAGGTGCTTATACACTACGAGATGCATGTGTGTACTCGGTTGTGGTTGCAGGGGTCAAGTCATAGCTCCTGGCCCCGCCTCTGAGCTGGCCTCTATTAAGCCCACTCCCTTCTCCATGAGCTTTATTGAACCTCTTCTTAGACCTATGTATGAATTCTGCCTCCCCTACATCACACTCTAGATTCTTCCACTTTCTGACTGAAGAAATACTTCCTAAGATCCCTGCGACTCCTTTGAGTTTTGAACCTCAGTTGTGACCCCTTGTTGCTGTGTCCCATCTCTAGTGTCGTACCGAATAGGTAAAACTTGCGATTTTGGCTTAATTAGAACATAAGAACATAAGAAAGGAGGAACACTGCAGGAGGCCTGCTGGCCCATACTAGGCAGGTCCTTTACAATTCATCCCACTAACAAAACATTTACCCAACCCAATTTTCAATGCTACCCAAGAAATAAGCTCTGATGTGAAAGTCCCACTCAAATCCAACCCTTCCCACTCATGTACTTATCCAACCTAGATTTGAAACTAAACAAAGTCCTAGCCTCAATAACCCAACTAGGTAGACTGTTCCACTCATCAACTACCCTATTTCCAAACCAATACTTTCCTATGTCCTTTCTAAATCTAAACTTATCTAATTTAAATCCATTACTGCGGGTTCTCTCTTGGAGAGACATCCTCAAGACCTTATTAATATCCCCTTTATTAATACCTATCTTCCACTTATACACTTCGATCAGGTCTCCCCTCATTCTTCGTCTAACAACGCCCTAGCAACGCCCTTCTTGCCGAATAAGGCTAGTGAAAATTTGTGTATGCAGTAATTTCGCAAAAGTCATTCTAAACGTAACGAAAAAAATATATTTCATTGTGTATTATTATTGTAAACTTGTCTAAAATATATTTAGTTGGATTAGGCTAAATTAAATTGCGCTTGTAATAAAAAGTTAGGTAAGTTTTCTAAGATTCTTTTGTGATAAGTTATTAATTTTTACATTAACATAAATGAAAAATATACATCTTTAAGTGTATAAGGGAAAATTTTAGGAAGGACCTAATTTTAAACGAGTTTGCTAATTGACCAATTATAACTACTCGGTACATACATACATATTATCCTAAAAGGTGTATGTGCAACATATAACCTGAAAATTGTGTATATCCTAGAAGGTGCAAGTATAAATACCCCAGAGGTATATATACGCTGAAGTGTATATATGCATATATTCTTTTAATATATATTTTAGGAATTAGTCTTGGTGTTTGTGCCGAGTTACAGCTTAATGACTCGTGTAATCAGTACATTATAAGTGAACTTAAAATTAACATTTATTAAAAAATATGTAACAGTTTTATTGCTAAAAGAATTCAGGGTGTTTAAAGTTGATTTTCATTTTTGTTAGTTAATGGGGTTTGAAGCCTATCGACCGCACTAGGGCCAGACAAGAATACTTTTAATTCTTAAATTAAAGTTATTAAATAAGTTTATTTAGGTACAGGGGCATATAAGTACAATTATCATACACTGTAAATTACCTAGGATAACCCCCCCCCCCCCAAAAAAAAAGTCATTGGGGTTCTCGGCTTAAAGTAAACTTGCACGTTTCTCGTAACTCGAACTCTGTTTTGCAGGCAAATTACCAAAGAACTGATGGACCTGTTGAACCAAGACAGGTCGCCGCTGTGCAACACTCGGCCGCAGATAATCCTGGAGCCATCCATCCAGCGACACCTCACACATTTCTCTCTCATTACTCACGGCTTCGGCTCCCCAGCCATCGTAGCCGCGCTCACAGCTATTCAGGTTTGTACATACTAGAGTTGGGTAATCTACATTTCCTTCTTTACAAATGCATCAGACCATAAATTTGGCTTGTGGTGTCTTAGGCCCGTAATTGGTGAGATAAGACTGAACAAATATAAGGAATACGAATAAGGTGATGAGGTGTAGGGGAGGTGTCACCTCGCGCACTCAGGTCACACACTGAGGTTCGGAGGTTGAATCCCCGATACGGCTGGAAAACATCAGGACGTGTTTCCTTAAGACACCTGCTGTTCATGTTCACCCATCAGTATAATGGGTACCTGGTGTTAGTCGACTGGTGTGGGTCGCATCCTGTGACAAAACTGACCTAATTTGCCCCAAATACTCTGCATAACAAGCGGCTTTCTATTTAGTAGTATATCATTGATGTCAGCTAGGACTGTATATCTTGTATATGTTCTTGTAGAAATAAAGATATATTATAAGATATCTAACCAGGAGAGGACTTGCAGCAATGAATTTAGATAGACAAGTTTAGATTTATAAAGTATGACCTCCACGCTAAACCGGTGGAGGTCATACAGAGCATTTAGGTTTGATTCAAGAGGGATATGGTACAGTTCCTTGGATCAAAAGAACCCCTCACCAGCATCAAGAAGCCTCCCTTAACGGGTAGAAAGGGTATAGGAAATCACTGCATGTAGTTTGATAGTAGTTTGAATGTGTGGAACAAACTCCCAAATAGCGTTGTTGAAGCAAAAACTTTGAGTAGCTTTAAAAAATAGGTTACGAGTAGATGTGGGTGGGTGTAAGTTTGGAGTTGCCTGGTTTGGTCAAGTAGGCCTCTTGCAGTGATCCTATGTTCTTATGTGTGCTGTGGGAGATTGTAAACTCTCCTCCCACAGTGATGCGAAATTTTTAAGTGTTCTGTATTGCATTTGTGCCTTCAAATAGTTGCTTGAATATCCAGCAGGCACACGAGTGTTAGACTGAAGTGGGAGAGCAAATGCTGTTAGTGAACATTTTGCAATAATGTATGTATGTATATCTCGGGAAGGAGTCAGATTCATAAAAAAAAAAAAAAAAAAAAACTAAATCAATCATTCAGTGTGGGATTAGAGTAAAGCAGTCAGTATTGGAGGTGAAAAGTGTTATGTCTGGAGCTTTTGAAAGTGTAATGGGTCATGATAGGTGTGCCCTAGTGAGGATGGGTCAGTAAATCACGAAAGGTATGCCTTTGTGGCCTTTTTTTTTATATTTATACATATACAGTACTGTATTAATGGGGAAATGCTTAGCCTGTAGGCATAAGGGTCAGACATCGATTGTAGAATAGGAAGTATGTAATAGGGTTTGATACAAGGAAGGTGATTACAGTAAGTTCTTCGCTGGCATCAAAACACTTTACATGAAGTGTGTGCCTTTGTGGAAAGGCAGCTAGAGAATGTCTCGTTTAGAATGGAGATGTCTTGTACTGGAAGTGGTTACATATTTTAATGCTAATATTTTATAGATTATATGATGCATCATAATGTACTACTTATGCTGAAAACTATTTTGTAAAGTGAATTTTTAAGTAGCAATTTCAGTTCCCAAATTCTCTTGACTAAACTACAGTGTTCTTACAGAATTTCTTGACGGAGTCTCTGAAGCACCTCGAGAAGTCCTTTCCCTCCTCCAACTCCCATCTCACCGTTACACCCTCCATAGATCTCAAGAACAAGGATATGGACAAGAAATAACGGTGTGGCCAAGTATCTCACTTCTTCCCCTCCACCTACACCACCGCCAGCCAGCCACTGAGAGTCAGACGCTATGAGACATTCCTCAGTTTATGTTATGGCTTGTAAAGATGCAAACTGAGCTACAGTCTGCTATTATAAAACCTGTGTGATCTTCAATTATGCATCATTTTTATTTGAAGGAATCGTAACTTCCCTTGAAGACTCGCTGCCGACACATAATCGGACATAGTTTGTCATGACTTGGTGAGCTTGGACTGACGGTTTGTTTTGTAAATAGAACTTCATAATATTTTAAGGTTGCTACATGGCTGTCATGGAGCTAGCTGTGTACTGATGGCAGCAAAAGTGCAATAATGCACAAGAGATAGTGCATAATACTCAGCTTTGTGGAAACTTGTTGAAAAAATAAAGACTATAGAAGTGATTTCTGGGAAATTTATTTAAGTAATTTTACCTCTTCTAAGAGGTTTAATGAATCTCACAATCAGTAGAAGATTATAAGTGTAGCTGCTAAGGTTTGTACAAATGCCATATTGCCATATTTTATTTTGACTGTTAAGGTTATTAAACACCCACTATTCACAACTGCAGTTTAGAGAAATTTAGTTTGCGGATATTTGGATACAAAGCGAGACGGTGTTCAGCTATTTCATGTGCCACTCACGATACCCAGATTGAAATTCTATTGTGATCTACCATTTAACAGTATTGTTTACAGAATACTTTGTTTTGTATCTAGTAAGTAGCCAAACTTTGTACGTTAGTAGTGTCAGGGTGGATAACCCTCAGAGGTTTTTCACATCCCAAACATATCTGCCAAAACAATGTACCAAGTGCAATCTCTTGGCGATGTGATTTATAAACTAGGCAAATGGGCGCTTTTGGGATAAACTGACTATGACAATGAGGCCATGCAAACCTCTGTAGATGTAATATTTTGTTGTTGGTTACCCAAGTCGACCCATGTTTTGTACAGTGTAGAAAGTACCTACAGACTTTTATTTCTCTGGATGGGACTCTCTCACCTAACCTCTTGGCTGGGAGTAGTATAGCGTTAATCTTACATAGGTGATAGGAGCCAAGCCTCTCACAGACACGAGTTTCCAGGTGTCCAATAGGCATGACAAACGTTGTATAAATTTCACTCTCTCAACTACGTGATATTCTCAAAATGTTTCTAGCTCTTTCTTTTGTCTTACTCTACAGTTTTGTTATTGAGATGTGAATGGTACATGATCTCTCAAAAGTGATCTGCATCTTTACCCCCCCCCCCCAAGTACAATCAAGGGCGTGAAATTAACTCGCCTGTATTTATAAGCTGCTTCAGCTCTGTTTTCCTGTACAATTTTTTTGCTTGTATTGTTTTACATTCCTTATCATATCACTGCTTAGTATCAGTATTTAGGTTCACTAGTCTTGCTAATTGTTCCTTTATATTCCTCTTAACATAGGAAATTCTTGGTTTGATTGTGACTTGCTAGGTTCTTTGAATGTTTATTTAGAAGGACAGTACTTCAGTATATCTTCAAAGACATTTTTGAAGACTGTTTTATTCTCATTTTCTGTTATATCCCAGAATAGGGGTGTTATACCTTCACTGTGATCTTCTAAGAACTCAGTGATATCAAAAATATTTTTCTATTTTTCTCTTGAACACAAGTGAACATTGTGATGTATGGATGTAATGTATGTATGTAATTGGTCCAATAGGTCATAATAAAGTATGTGTTGCCATGAGTGTATCTAAATGTGGCAGATACAACTATTTTGGATTCTGGGTGTTTTAATTTTTTATATTACAATAAATTCACATTTTAGTAACACCCAGGATCCCTAATTAATATTTGTCACATTTTCTTGAATCTGTTATGAATCTGACTTGGAGGTTTACTTTGGGTCATTGTGACAGTAACCTATTTGTTTATATTCTGTGCTTTGAATATTCAGATTCTCAATAAAGACAGCAAGGGCTCTGGGTAAGATGCAGCCAAGCAAAACCTCATATCAAGACGACCTAGGGTCCTAGTTTATTCTTATTCCATTTTACTCCCTGCCCTTTCCAAATGTCTGCAAATATGGCGTTGCTCAGACAACTTTCTTCTACAAAAGAAAGAATTTTTTTTGTTGCCCAATTTCATGTAATGTTATATTATTAAATAAGGTATTTTATACTGTGCTACCCCAGTGGCACATGTTCTCCACAACCTGGTTGTTTTGTGTATTCCTCCATAATGGACGGTACCATCGTGTTGTATAGTTTATCTGTCAACTTGAAATAATTTTAATGCTAAAGGATGCCATATGTAGAATAATAATAAAAATCTTAACAAGATTATCATATATTGTATCTTGCCTTCTCAACTTAATTAGTAATATGTTTACGACATAAATATTACATAACTAGTGCAGCAAATTATAACTGTATATTACAATCACTCTTGCCATTCTTTCATCAAAGACAATAAGACTGTATTAATCCTTCAAATATCACAAATGGTTACAAAAGGTGATTATTGTTAACTGACATGACAATTCTTGAGCAACATTATTAAAGCATATATTGCACAACTTGTAGTAAACCAATCATTTGCTACTTTAATAAATTCCAAGTGTGTAGTATTTTGGGTTTGAAAAATATATTTGGAATTGCAATCTAGGCATAAGCTACTGCTTACAATTTAGTACAATCTTGAGGGAAACACTGACTCTGAAAGCAATCAGGATCAATCCTAAAAAAGGAGAAGGTAAGTCCACTTCCCTGGATCAAGAGCCCATTAGTGAGGATTTAATTAATTTCTCAAATTAAAATTTTAAGCATTAATAAAATTATCAGAATTATATTCAATGAAGAATCTTCATCTATTGCCCATTTGGCCTTTTATAAATTCCTTCATGGGAAGTGCCTTGGTGTTGCTGAAAGGCTCTTGATTTAAGGAACAAACTACCCTACCCTTCATCAGATCAAACCTGATTTTCACCCCACTCCTTAGAGCTAAGAGGCTGTATGAGCCTTATGAGCATAATGCTTCCCATGAATTTAAAAAAAGATTACATCATATACAAAATATTTTGCACGAGGTACAGAACTTACAAACGAGTAGAGGTTCTGGTTTTTCAAATTAAGAGTTATGTGTACAGTGATGTATAGTGTGGCTTGGCAGTTTTGAAACTTAACTGGTTCATGAGTGCTCCATTTATAAGTGCAGACAACTGTAACTAAGCATTTCTAAGTTAAGGACCTCCTGTAGGCAGTACTAACTAATGAAAATGATTATACAAAAAAAAAAAAAAAAAAAAACAATCACCTTAAATTGTTATATTCAGGGGTAGGGGTGCTAAACCAGTAGGAAATACATAACTCAATTTAATTCAATCGGGTCTGATCCAAGGAAGAATAGAAACAATTTTATGGATCAAGACACCTTTCTTGAAGTAGCATTCATCCTAATGATATTGCATATCTTCCACAACACAATATATCTAACCTTGCAACTGATCACACAACAGCATATCTTGCATTTAATAACCCTTTTACCATATTCATTAACCCGTAAACGGTCCAAGCAGATCTACGTTTACATGTGTAGTGCTACAAAAGTAGATCTACTTTTTTTTTTACATATTTTCAAATATAACAAAAAAAAAGTAGATCAAAGTATTTTTTACATAGTCAAATGTTGAAAAAACGTATATACGTTTGGACCATTTACGGGTTAAAATGTGGTCTAAATAGTCTCTAATAGTTCATGGTCAAACCACAGTATAAAGAATGAGCATTTTTAGTTGATTACAAGCAGTTTTAACTATTATATCAACAATAAAAAATTTACACATTACAAGAAATAACCATAGTTTTCATCCTTGAGTTTCCTTCAAGCACATCAGCATAGTGTTCTAAACACTGAATAATAAAACCTCAATTTAGCAGACTAAAAGGAAGGAGTGTGTGTGTCCAGTGATACTGAGTGCCCATGAAACCTGAATAATGTTAAAAACAGGAACACTATAATACACTACAGTATACGTACAGTAAAATGCACACTAAAGCAATCATTGAAAATATAGAAGTTAAAAGTACTGCAGAGCAACTATACTGATCTTTTGTGGTGGATAAAAATTTCAGAAACAATGGACTTTGTTCATTATTTTTGAAATCAATTTATGCAGAAGATTTTATCTCTGAAATCAGTTAAATTGAAGTTTTACTAAAGTACAGCTTTTTTCATTGGCATCCTCCCCAAGATGCAACCCACAAGAGCTGATTAATGCTTAGGCACCTATTTACCACTAGGTAAATGTGGGCAACTGGTACAATACAGAGATAGTTAAGTATACTGTACATCTCGCCCTAACCACCAGAAATAGAATTATTCTTTAAACTGAGCTGAATGCTCAAATAATTATGCATGCTAATTATTAATGAACCAAAATACAAATTTTAATATATAAAATATTAATTTTATTTAAAATTTCTGTCTCCTGAGGAATATTAGTACACCAATGTCTTTCACTCTTCACTGGGGTTGTTTATCCAAACTTTACATATTTCACCAAACTATAAAGTTTGACACAATATTGTGGTGCCTCTCTCATTATTCAAATATGTCTGTCTAATCTTTCAAAAAGATTCTAAATGTCCAAACCACTTCGCTATTTCAAGTCATTTTGTGTGTAGAGTGTGTGTGTGTGTGTGTTGTCGTTCGTTGTTGTTGTCGTTGTCAGCCACTTAGGCCATCAACTCACAAGTCTCTTCATCTTACATACTGTGATAACAATACACAAGGCAGAGATTACAAATACTCATAATAATCCTCACCTAGCATGATACACCTTTTAATTCAAAGCTTCATCATTCATGTGTTATTCTTGTTTATATTCTTCAAAACAGAAAACTCACAAGTCATATATATATATATATATATATATATATATATATATATTTTTTTTTCAACAAGTCGGCGTCTCCCACCGAAGCAGGGTGACCCAAAAAAGAAAGAAAATCCCCAAAAAGAAAATACTTTCATCATCATTCAACACTTTCATCACACTCACACATTATCACTGTTTTTGCAGAGGTGCTCAGAATACAACAGTTTAGAAGCATATATGTATAAAGATACACAACATATCCCTCCAAACTGCCAATATCCCAAACCCCTCCTTTAAAGTGCAGGCATTGTACTTCCCATTTCCATATATATACATGTATATATATATATTCTTTCTTCTTTCAACACACCGGCCGTATCCCACCGAGGCGGGATGGCCCAAAAGGAAAAACGAAAGTTTCTCCTTTTACATTTAGTAATATATACAAGAGAAGTGGTTACTAGCCCCTTGCTCCCGGCATTTTAGTCGCCTCTTACAACACGCATGGCTTACGGAGGAAGAATTCTGTTCCACTTCCCCATGGAGGTAAGAGGAAATAAACAAGAACAAGAACTAGTAAGAAAAATGGAAGAAAACCCAGAGGGGTGTGTATATACATATATGCTTGTACATGTATGTGTAGTGTGACCTATGTGTAAGTAGAAGTAGCAAGACGTACCTGAAACCTTGCATGTTTATGAGACAGAAAAATGGACAGCAGCAATCCTACCATCATGTAAAACAATTACAGGTTTCCGTTTTACACTCACTTGGCAGGACGGTAGTACCTCCCTGGGCGGTTGCTACTTACCAACCTACTACTATTTTTTTTTTTCAACAAGTCGGCCGTCTCCTCATCTTAGCAACATACTTGTTTACCGATGCCTCGGGCTTACCACGGGCTCTCTGACCAGTATTTATACCTAAATAATGCATATTAGAGCTGATTTCCTAAGTTCTGTTCATTACAATATACAGTACACTGCTGTATAAACATTTGAAAATATACCAGAAATGTTATAAATGGTGTAAAGGTGACATTAAAACAATATCGAAGATGGGTGACAAATTCACTACCATTATAGTATGCTCCTCGTTTAGTGACAAATTCATTTACCGACGGGGTCTTAGGTCCCTATCTCCAGTGTTAAGTGAGGAGAGGCTGTATATATAATGTGGAATAACTGCAAACTAGTGATAACAAATACAAAACCACAGGGGGAAACTGAATGATAGCTCTAGGCCTTTCGTGTTGCACTGTTGCAAGTTCTTCAAAAAGTGGCCTGTAACACAAAAGGCCCTGAGCTATCATTCAACTTCTGTCTGTGGTTGTTTTGCATATATAGATTATATTAAATAATGTTTAATACTATTCATAATTGAAAATGAATAGTATTGAATGAAAACTACTGTGTAAATATACTTAATATAAAAAAAAAGAATTAGATAATCAATATTATGGTTTGAGAATGCATCTCTGATTATAACATGGGTGTCTATGGGAAAACAGGTTTCAAGTTCTGAACAGTCAACTTGCAAATAATTTTCAGGAATGCATTAACACTGTTAGGCAGGTCCTACTATTTACCCAGTGAAGATAGAATTAATGTTATTAAATTATACCATTCAATAAAAAACCATACCACCAAATTTTATTTATAATAAAACCAGAGATGGGAGATACCAAATCTTTTGCTGATACCAATACCATCAAGAGTAGCTAATACCCAGTGATACTGGCACCGATACCATCAAAATTAGCCGATATCCACTGATATTGACACTCTGGTGTGCCCTTAAATAAAACCAATCTGAAACTCCTCAAGATAAAATGTCTCAGGCAAAACTAGCAATTTTTTAAGTACAGTGGTACCTTGAGTTTCGAACAGCTCCCAACTCGAACAATTATGTAAGTGCTTTTGTAAGTGTATTTTTGGGGGTCTGAAACACACTAATCTAATTTACATATTCCTTATGTGAACAAATTCATTCGGTATCGCCACTCAAACAACCTTCTGGAACGAATTAAGTTCGTAACTCAAGGTACCACTGCATTTTGTAAAACTGACAATTTTTTAAGTATTTTTACAATGTCTTTCTCTTCATAAAATTTTAACAACCTTTAATCTACTTTTGAAAAGAATGCATTGATCAAGTTCCAAACTACTGTACCTGCACACATTATGATGACAAAGCAGCAAGTACAAGGCATCTAAAATAAGAGTACATTAATATCAAAATACTAGTATGAAAAGATTAAGACATAACAGGCAAGGAAACCTTTAGTATGCAACATTCAACCCAGAGAGATCATATCACAAAACACATCAGCATACAGTAATGTCAAGGTAAAGAGGACATCAGGTAACACAACACAAGAGGACCACTGCAGTAAGCTCACCAGCTCATGTGAGTTAAATGGTTGAGGCTTCAAGATTTTTTTTTTAATGTGCTGGCTATCTCCCACCAAGGTAGAGTGATCTGAAAAAAGAAACACTTTCACCATCATTTACACTGTCACTGTCTTTTCAGAGGTGTGTAGATATGAGAGTTTAGATGTTCCTCCAAACAGCAAATATCCCCAGTCCTCCTTTAGAATGCAGACACTGTACTTCCCACTGTACTTATTTTTATTCTTATATTATTCTTATTTACCTCAACGATTGTCGACCACCAAGGCAACATAACCCAAAGAAGAAAACACATTTGCCATCATTCACTCAATCTATGCTTTTCCAGATGAGTGCTGACATCACAATATAGCTGGAACTTTGAACTGCAACATCCATACCCCTCCAGAGTGTAAACACTGCCCTTCCCACCACTAAGAGTCAAGTCTTGGAGGTGGGAAAGGCAATTATGGTGCATCTGACTCCACTTGCTCCCATCTATTATATTTAGAAGGAATCAGTAAATCCCCCAGTCACACGGTGCCTGAGAAATGGTAGGTAATCAAGTTCGATCCAAGGAAGGAAAGACATGACCAATTCCTTGATGCAAGAACTTTTCACCAGCATCAAGGAACCTTCCATGAGGGGTATGGAGAAAAATGAGTTAGTTGTTTCATGCCATGAGGACAAGAGAATTATGGTGCATTATGCATGTATTGTCAGTGTTGTTAATCTCTGCCATTATATTTATGCACCTGAAGACATGCAAGTACACCTCCAGCTGTTTTCCTTATGTAAACCTTAATACATCTCCCATATAGAATACTGTAGACCCCTGCTTTCTTTAGTGATTTACTAAGTCTAAAAGTTCTGGTAATTTCTGCTGGAAACACTAATAATATATGCACAGTGCACTATAACTCACATTCCCTTTTCATGGCAAAGGACATACTTACCTGGGGTTACCTGGAGAGGGTTTCGGGGGTCAACACCCCCGCGGCCCAGTCTGAGGCCAGGCCTCAAGGTGGATCAGGGTCTGATCAACCAGGCTGTTACTGCTGGCCGCATGCAAGCTGATGTACGAACCACAGCCCGGTTGGTCAGGTACTGACTTTAGGTGCCTGTCCAGTGCCTTCTTGAAGACAGCCAGGGGTCAATTGGTAATCCCCCTTATGTATGCTGGGAGGCAACTGAACAGTCTTGGGCCCTGGACACTTATTTCCAAGAAAATAACAGAGAAATATGCATATATGCCTTGAAGCTTCAACCAATGAATTTCAGCAACACCAATGAACAAAACTGAGAATAGTATATCTTGGCTAGGCCAATCTCTCATGCTGTCCTAAGATCACCATGGAAAACTTAACATGAGTCAACATTCCTACTGCAGTGTTCCTTCATTCTTCCTTTAATGCCTTTACCCTCCCATCCCTTTCTTGTACCTAGCACTGGCTGGTGGACTTACTGCAGTACTCCTTTTGCAATGTGTTACCTAACCTGTTCACCCTGATTTCACTTACTGTATGCTATGCGTCTTGTGATATATTTGCTATGTACTTGATAAACATCCTTCATGGGTGAAACATTGCACATTAAAGAATACCCTGCATTTTTTAACACACTGTCCGTCTCCCACCGAGACAGGGTAACCTGAAAAAGAAACACTTTAATCATCATTCACAATATTGCTGTCTTGCCAGAGGTGGACATGACAGTTTAGATTACCCTCCAAGTAGAAAATATCCCCACCCCTATTTTTAGAGAGCAGGCACTGTACTTCCCGCCTCCAGGATTCAAGTCTGGCTAACCGGTTTTCCTGAATCCCTTCACAAAATGTTACACTGCATACTGCATTTTATTCTTTCAACTTGTTGCCTATATCAACATAAAATATCAATATGCTGGCATAAAAACCTTCTTATCGTACTTGTACACATGATGAAAATGCTTGTAAAGTTAATCTAACAAATTTAGATTGTTTAACTTCCTCTGCATAACTGATGACAGTACAGTACAACATTAATATATTAAGCTGTGTTACAGCATTCCTTATAACTTCCTGAATATCCCACTGAACTTTTCTAATCATCATCTACTTCGGGTTAGTAAAATATTTCATTCAATCTTTCTTTAGGATAGAACAAGAGGAAGAAACATACATAAATATGCTTTCTAATTTGTTCTTTAACTAAATTACCTTAATTACACTGCTTGATAATAACAATGAGTGGGTAACACCTTATACAATCACTTAATTATTATACCTCTTGATTAAATGAAATAAATCAAACTCAATGATTCATCTATAAAGAATAAAAGTTGAAAGTTTTCACAATACTGACTATGGCTGACACAATTCATAAACAACCCAAACCTACAGAGGACATTAGTAATCTATGACTGCATGAAACGTTGTCTGAAATTTCCTCTCTAAGCGTGGGTTATTTGTTATGTATGGATGCGTATATTACAGTAGGCAAACTAGCTCAAGCAAATGGCAGCTACCATATATTACTCCCATTAGCTGAACAATGGCAGCTTCTGGGACTTGGTCGATCCTTTAGCACTGACCATCCAGAAGCACTGTATCTTTGCATATACTCTTATGGATAAATTTTATACAGGATTAAAATGAGAAATTAATATATAAACAGTACAGTAGGGCCCCGCTTTACAGCATTTTGCCTTATGGCATTCCGCTAATACAGACATTTCAAATTATGACCAAAACTCGCTATATGCCCCTCCCCCTCCCTCCCCGACTTTCTAATACAGTAACCGTGCCCCACCTGGTTTGTTTACATTCTCTGTGAGCACTCTCTCTCTCCATTATGTCTGGAAACTTTCCAAAATTTCAAGTGTTTTAAAGTTATTTCATGTTTTATGTATATTCTGTTAATTATACCTATGTGTACCTGTACCTAAATAAACTTACACACTGTGACTCACGAAATCGTAATGACATGGTTTCGTGAGGTACGTCCTTTGAGACTCTCTGATCGCGGGTTCTATCCCTGCCTGTGGTATGGTTTGTTTACACACTGTGCTGGTATGTCAGGTACATATTAAAATCACTAAGAGTGTCTTATTAGTCTTGAGGACGCCATATTAATAATGTTAATAAATAATAATACGGAATAATAATGACTCTGAGGCTCATTAAATGTCGTATGTTATGCTAATATAAACATTTTCATTAGCCCATCTATGATATTTTTTTCAAAATTATATAACAAACACGTTACGTAACATAGAAATATAATAAATACACCACACAGTAGATTAAATTAACATGAAGATGAGATGTTAGGCATATATGAACATGTATCAACCATAACCAGACATGTTTGTCTGTTTGTTTACATTCTCCCTGTCTCTCTCTCTCATTTACTCGTTCTCTCTCTCGTTTATTCATTTTACCTCGTTTACTCACTTCTAACCCTACATTAAGACTACAAATATTTTAAGGTAAGTAATGAATGTGATGTATATGCATTTTATTGCTCTGGGGCACTTTAAATGTCATATTACATGTGGGCAGGGTGGCCTGGTTGGCTACCATACCTCCAATACCTGACTTACAATAAATACTACTCACTTCTCACCCTACATTAAGGCTACAAATATTTTAAGGTAGGTAATGAGTGTAGTGTAAACTTTATCTGGCATTTATATGCATTTATAAGTGGAAACAATGGCGTTCTGTTTTCCAGCAATGTCCGCTTTCTGGAGGTAGCCTGGAACCTAACCTGCCGTATAAGGGGGACCCTACGCACGTATAAAAACTATCATAACATTTTACATATTAAGATAAAAGGTTAATAACATAGAAATCTTTTTGTGTGTGTGTGTTATTAGTCATCCAGTATTCTTTAAGGCCCTATAATCTTGCCCAGTATTGTGCATATTTTATATTTGTTAAAAGACTTGTGTAACTATGATTTTTTTAACAATTTTTAACTTACATAAACATCTTTCCAGTGTAAATATTTCAACAATATGTCTCTTACAACTTACAAAGGAATTTTGTAAACAGTCTAGGTATGGTGGAAGGCAACAGTTATTTTCTGCAGACACACTCATCCATTTTTAAACCTGCAGCCACACATCTCCTTCACTGAACTCAAAACACTACATCTCTGAATAAGCAGCAGAATATAATGTTAAAAATAGTAAACACAAATACTGTATACAATAAAATTAAAAATACAGTGGAACCCTGACTTATGAGTGCCCCAACATACGAGTTTTTCGAGATATGAGCCATCACTCAGTTGATTTTTTGCTCTGAGTTACGAGCCAAAATCTGAGCTACGAGCAGCTTCCCCCCTCAACCCTTACACCTCGCTTGTGTTTATCTATGATTTCATGCTTAAATTCCATGGATATCATCCTCTTTTTCTTCTCACCACTGTTCCTTTGCACTTACTTTCTCAGGACCCATGGTTAGAAAAAAGAAATATGGCAAAATAACTACACAAAATGCAAGCAAAACACGAGAGAAATGCTTCCACACTGAGGTAAACAGTGCACTGCGCCAGTTGGCAGCATTCTGAAGCTTCTCGTTATTATTATTATTATTATTATTATAATAATAATACAGTGGACCCTCAGTTAATGACATTAATCTGTTCCAGAGAGCTTGTCTTTAACTGATTCTGTCGTAATCCGAATTAATTTTCCCCATAAGAAATAATGGAAATGCAATTAATCCGTTTCAGACACCCAAAAATATTAAAAAATGTTTTCTATGTGAAATATGCATTTACCTACACAGAAAACAATGATACATGAAGAATAAAACAATAATAACATCACACTTACCTTTACTGAAGACATGGTGATGTATTGAAGACAGGAGGAGGGGAGAGGATGGAAGAGTTTACAATTGTTTGGAAGGGGAATCCCACTCCATAAAGACTTCAGGTACCAAGTCCTTATCCTGGGTTACTTCTCTCCTTTGTTTTTTAATGCCACTAGGACCAGTTTGAGAGCACTGGACCCCTGTTGCTCAAAAAAGTTTTCCAGAGAGGTCTGTTTCTGGTATATGTTAGGAATTGTGTTGGGAGACACAAGATAGTCCTTCAATATGACACTAATAACAGCTCTATGGCTTATTTATCTAGCACAATTCATCTAATATGACATAATAAACAATATTAATAACATAGAAACATGACATATACTCTAGAATGAATAAAATATGTCATTAAGTATGTCACGAGTGTTGCTGTGTTGTTGTTGGGTGTACGTATAAGGACCACTGAGAGCATAAGTCGTACATAGTGGTAGTGGAGGTGGCAGCAGCAGTAGAGACTAGAGACGGCGGTGTTGTCAGTCACCCTATATAACTCCAACAACATTGGAGGAGTTAGGTTCGTGCTCTCCTTTTTCTATCGATTAATCGCTTAACTTACTTGCTACAGTTAATGCTTAGCTTGCTTGCTACAGTTAATGCTACACTTTATCGCTGGCTGCCGCAATAGCCTTTATATACTCCTGTTGCTTTAGTATTGTACATATTGCATAGTCACTGAAAAAGGCACATTCTCCCTTCTCTCTCAGCCCTTTACCAAAGGGCTGGCTTTCTTTGGGCCCATGGTGGCTTATTTAGCAGTTACAAGCACTAAAAACAATGAAATAATACAAAATGTATCGCATGTAAGCGTGGAATTGTCCTTGCTGGCTTGTAAACAATGGCACACTGGCTGTACGTGGAGTGGTTGGGCTGCTCAGGTCATGCAGACATGTTCGGGACAAATGACTTTAACTGAGTTTTTTGTCATTAACTGAGCCAATATTTTGATGCAAAAACATGTCGTTATCCGATGACATCGTTAATTGAGGGTCCAATGTAATTATATTATTATTATTATTATTATTAATTTAGGGAACTGGAGCACAAATCCAATTCCCTAGATCAAGAGCCCCTCTCCAGCATCAAGGTTCCTTGATGCTGGTGAAGGGCTCATGATCTAGAAAATTGGATCTGTGCTCCAGTTCCCTAAATTAATAATAATAATTATAATAATTATTATAAAAATATTAATTGGAGTGTGAGCAGGGTAACATTTATGAAGGGGTTCAGGGAAACCGGCAGGCCGGACTTCGAGTCCTGGAGATGGGAAGTACAGTGCCTGCACTCTGAAGGAGGGGTGTTAATGTTGCAGTTTAAAAACTGTAGTGTAAAGCACCCTTCTGGCAAGACAGTGATGGAGTGAATGATGGTGAAAGTTTTTTTCTTTTTCGGGCCACCCTGCCTTGGTGGGAATCGGCCAGTGTGATAATAAAAAAAAAAAAAAATTAATTATAATAATACTAATAATAACGAGGAGCTTCAGAACGCCACCAACTGATGCAGTGCACTGTTTACCTCACTGTGGAAGCATATGTCTCATGTTTTACTTGCATTTTGTGAAGTTATTTTAGCAAATTTCTTTTTTCTAACCATGGGTTCTAAGAAAGTAAGTGCAAAGGACAGTGCTGAGAAGAAAAATAGGATGATGTCCATGGAATTAAAGCATGAAATCATAGATAAACATGAGCAATGTGTGAGGTGTACAGGTTGTTTGTGAGGCAGTACGAGTGTAGTACTATGCTGGTACTGCCTCGCATTAAGAGTGTAGCAATTAATTAAGTTCAGAGATAAA